CAGTCCTGGGTCTACAGCCTCAGTCCTGGGTCTACGGCCTCAGTCCTGGATCTACAGCCTCAGTCCTGGGTCTACAGCCTCAGTCCTGGGTCTACAGCCTCGGTCCTGGGTCTACAGCCTCAGTCCTGGGTCTAGAGCCTCAGTCCTGGGTCTACAGCCTCAGTCCTGGGTCTACAGCCTCAGTCCTGGGTCTACAGCCTCAGTCCTGGGTCTACAGCCTCAGTCCTGGGTCTACGGCCGCAGTCCTGGGTCTACGGCCTCAGTCCTGGGTCTACGGCCTCAGTCCTGGGTCTACAGCCTCAGTCCTGGGTCTACGGCCTCAGTCCTGGGTCTACAGCCGCAGTCCTGGGTCTACGGCCTCAGTCCTGGGTCTACAGCCTCAGTCCTGGGTCTACAGCCTCAGTCCTGGGTCTACAGCCTCAGTCCTGGGTCTACAGCCTCAGTCCTGGGTCTACAGCCGCAGTCTTACCTGAGTCGGTCCCGGTCAGGGTCACTAGGGCCTGGAAGCTCCTAGACTGGGCGGAGGAGCTGGAGGTGGTTCTGCGGCCGGCCTGGTTCTGCTGGGGGTCCGCCTCTGCCCTGTGCACGGCCTGGTACACCGGAGAGCTGCTGTCTACAAGGCTCTCTCTAACTGGGACTATACTGCAGCCACACACAAGGGGGCGCCACAACACACACATGTCACACAGGCTCAGAGACAGACCGCGTCATTACGTCACAGACAGATATAGAATGAAATAAATAGGTCTTTATATGATATAGTTGATTTTTTCCACAGTGCAGCGGTTACTAAGAAGCAACAGCAGATTAGAAACATATTACATTTGGAACAAAATGAATCTTCATTAATGCTTTAAAACTCAAACTCATGTCTCTTCCTGAGGTGTGTTTCTGGAGTTTTCTGTCTCAGTTCTTTTTATAAACAGTTGTAACATTTGAGCTCAGACCTTTAATATCAACACCACACGTTAAATAAAGTCAAGACAGCGTTTTTACAAACGGCCAGAGAAGAAGATGAGGCACCAGAGCGTTCATCTGTCTGAGAGTCCGAGCAGAGCGTCCTGTTTGAGAGAACAGACTTTAACTGAGTTGTCTGTGGACTGGAGGAAGAAGAGGAGAGAAGGATCTGTTCAGACACTGAATCCAAACAGGAAATGTTTTTTTGGTTAAAGGAGGAAATGTAAAAACAGCTGAGCACAAGTGCAGGATCCTCTACAGCCATAAAAATACAATACTATACTACGCCACTAGGGGGCGGCATGCGCTGCGCAACAAGGCAAGAACCACAGCCATGAGACAAACAAGAGTCTGAGACCACAGACCACAGACCTGAGACCACAGACCTGAGACCATAGACCACAGACCACAGAACTGAGACCACAGACCTGAGACCACAGACCTGAGACCACAGACCTGAGACCACAGACCTGAGACCACAGACCTGAGACCACAGACCTGAGACCACAGACCTGAGACCACAGACCTGAGACCATAGACCTGAGACCATAGACCACAGACCTGAGACCATAGACCTGAGATCATTAGGTATCAGACTGATCAGTGACTTATCTGGTCACCCTGGAAAAGCCATGTTCCAGCTTCTTCCCTCTGGCAGAACATGCAAACAACTTATTATCAGTGAAAACAGAGAACTTTAATGTTTTAGATCAATTTCACAAAGACAATCGTTCACTGTTTTGTTTGTTTTATTTCTGTAATTTTAATGTTTTTTATGTATGTACTTGTCTAGTGCACACTGGGGACTTTGCAAATGTATTCCAAAGGGGTTTTACTGCAAATGGCAAATTAATGAATCTGGATCTAAGAGATTTGGGCAAACGCAGAAAAAACATGTTTGGATTCTACACATGAAAAACAAAAAAGGCTTTTAGGAAAGTGAGTAAAGTCTGTTGCATCTACAAATAGTTTATTACCACAAAATAAAACCTTAAATCATAGTGGTTTCAGAGTGTGGCCTCCTAAAAGATACAATGTTAGAGAATTAACAGAATATTTGAAAAAATATCTTAAAGAGCGACTAAACAAGTCAACTTTTTTAACTCATAAACTGCATAAATATGTTTAGTGCTCTCTACATGTCCTGGCCTGGTTTTTGACATTTTAGTCCAGATTAGATAAAATCTCACTTTTGAGCCTAAAAACGTCTGTGGCGCCCCCTATACCTTTTCAGTGGTACTACATTTGAATTTGGTCCTGGCCTCTCATTGGTCTGTAATACTGTGTGACGTCAGCTGGTGTGTGACGTCAGTTGGTGTGTGTGACGTCAGTTGGTGTGTGTGACGTCAGTTGGTGTGTGTGTCAGTTGGTGTGTGTGACGTCAGTTGGTGTGTGACGTCAGTTGGTGTGTGTGACGTCAGTTGGTGTGTGTGTCAGTTGGTGTGTGTGACGTCAGTTGGTGTGTGTGTCAGTTGGTGTGTGTGACGTCAGTTGGTGTGTGTGACGTCAGTTGGTGTGTGTGTCAGTTGGTGTGTGTGACGTCAGTTGGTGTGTGACGTCAGTTGGTGTGTGTGTGTCAGTTGGTGTGTGTGTCAGTTGGTGTGTGACGTCAGTTGGTGTGTGTGACGTCAGTTGGTGTGTGTGTCAGTTGGTGTGTGTGACGTCAGTTGGTGTGTGACGTCAGTTGGTGTGTGTGTGTCAGTTGGTGTGTGTGTCAGTTGGTGTTGACGTCAGTTGGTGTGTGTGACGTCAGTTGGTGTGTGACGTCAGTTGGTGTGTGTGAGTCAGTTGGTGTGTGTGACGTCAGTTGGTGTGTGTGACGTCAGTTGGTGTGTGTGTGTCAGTTGGTGTGTGTGTGTCAGTTGGTGTGTGTGACGTCAGTTGGTGTGTGTGTCAGTTGGTGTGTGTGTCAGTTGGTGTGTGTGTCAGTTGGTGTGTGTGTGTCAGTTGGTGTGTGTGATGTCAGTTGGTGTGTGTGACAGTTGGTGTGTGTGTCAGTTGGTGTGTGTGTCAGTTGGTGTGTGTGACAGTTGGTGTGTGTGTCAGTTGGTGTGTGTGTCAGTTGGTGTGTGTGTCAGTTGGTGTGTGTGTGTCAGTTGGTGTGTGTGACGTCAGTTGGTGTGTGTGTCAGTTGGTGTGTGTGTCAGTTGGTGTGTGTGTGTCAGTTGGTGTGTGTGTCAGTTGGTGTGTGTGTGTCAGTTGGTGTGTGTGACGTCAGTTGGTGTGTGTGTCAGTTGGTGTGTGTGTCAGTTGGTGTGTGTGACGTCAGTTGGTGTGTGTGTCAGTTGGTGTGTGTGTCAGTTGGTGTGTGTGACGTCAGTTGGTGTGTGTGTCAGTTGGTGTGTGTGTCAGTTGGTGTGTGTGACGTCAGTTGGTGTGTGTGTCAGTTGGTGTGTGTGTCAGTTGGTGTGTGTGTCAGTTGGTGTGTGTGACGTCAGTTGGTGTGTGTGTCAGTTGGTGTGTGTGTCAGTTGGTGTGTGTGTCAGTTGGTGTGTGTGACGTCAGTTGGTGTGTGTGACGTCAGTTGGTGTGTGTGTCAGTTGGTGTGTGTGATGTCAGTTGGTGTGTGTGTCAGTTGGTGTGTGTGTCAGTTGGTGTGTGTGTGTCAGTTGGTGTGTGTGTCAGTTGGTGTGTGTGTGTGTGTCAGTTGGTGTGTGTGTGTCAGTTGGTGTGTGTGACGTCAGTTGGTGTGTGTGTCAGTTGGTGTGTGTGTCAGTTGGTGTGTGTGTCAGTTGGTGTGTGTGTCAGTTGGTGTGTGTGTCAGTTGGTGTGTGTGTGTCAGTTGGTGTGTGTGACGTCAGTTGGTGTGTGTGTCAGTTGGTGTGTGTGTCAGTTGGTGTGTGTGTGTCAGTTGGTGTGTGTGTGTCAGTTGGTGTGTGTGTCAGTTGGTGTGTGTGTCAGTTGGTGTGTGTGTCAGTTGGTGTGTGTGTCAGTTGGTGTGTGTGTCAGTTGGTGTGTGTGTCAGTTGGTGTGTGTGTCAGTTGGTGTGTGTGTGTCAGTTGGTGTGTGTGACGTCAGTTGGTGTGTGTGTCAGTTGGTGTGTGTGTCAGTTGGTGTGTGTGTGTCAGTTGGTGTGTGTGTCAGTTGGTGTGTGTGTGTCAGTTGGTGTGTGTGTGTCAGTTGGTGTGTGTGTCAGTTGGTGTGTGTGTCAGTTGGTGTGTGTGTGTCAGTTGGTGTGTGTGACGTCAGTTGGTGTGTGTGTCAGTTGGTGTGTGTGTCAGTTGGTGTGTGTGTGTCAGTTGGTGTGTGTGTCAGTTGGTGTGTGTGTGTCAGTTGGTGTGTGTGTGTCAGTTGGTGTGTGTGTCAGTTGGTGTGTGTGTCAGTTGGTGTGTGTGTGTCAGTTGGTGTGTGTGACGTCTGTCTGAGTCAGTGATATAAAACCATCCAACCCTCACACACACACAGCAGCAGTTGGAGTATTCTGGCGACATCTAGTGGATTAAAATTAAATGACATGAGTTGAAGCCAGTGCTGCTGAGATAATTGTGTGTCTGAGGTTCAGTTGTGTAGCTCTACAATTATCTTAGTGTGTAAACAAAGGAATGAGACTTTCTGGTGTAAACTATTGCTTTAAGCAGCAATGACAATTGTCTGTTTTTTTTTTCTCGTGTGACTAGTGAGCTGTCAATCACAGCCCAGACCACGCCCACCTCTAAGCCCCCCTTCTTGGTCCTCGGGCAACGCCCTTTTTAGAGAACATTTTCAAATGTTCATGTGGGCGGAGTCGGGCTGGGCACAGGTGTTTAGTCGCTCTTTAAGTTTCAAATATTTAAAGAATATGAAAATGTACTTGCTTTTTCCTTTTCTCTTTATGGTTCTTTATATTCTATCATATGTTTAAACTGTGACATGTTGCTGTGACGACCAAAATACAATCAATCAATCAAAAATTAGGGTCAAATTCTGGATCCATGACCATTGTGTGCTTGTGTGTGTGTGGGGGGGACCATGCAGCCTTACCCCATGCCCTGGCTCTGGCTTTGGGTGTGGCCCTGGGTGTGGCCCTGGGTGTGGCCCTGGGTGTGGCCCTGGGTCTGGCCCTGGGTCTGGCCTGCGATGGCGTCCATGATGGAGTCCTGGGAGTACATGCTGATGGGCGTGTTGTACTGGGCGTGGATGATGGTGGCCTTCCCCCCAGGACCCGCCACCTCCATGGGCTTGTGCATGTGGTCTTTGTGGGCTGGACTGAGGGGGGCGCTGTGGGGCAGGGGGGAGGAAGAGTGAGGAAGAGTGAGGGACAGAGGTGAGGAAGAGTGAGAGGACAGGGGTGAAGAAGAGTGAGAGGCAGAGGTTAGGAAGAGTGAGAGGCAGAGGTGAGGAAGAGTGAGAGGCAGAGGTGAGGAAGAGTGAGAGGCAGAGGTGAGGAAGAGTGAGAGGACAGGGGTGAGGAAGAGTGAGAGGCAGAGGTGAGGAAGAGTGAGAGGACAGGGGTGAGGAAGAGTGAGAGGACAGGGGTGAGGAAGAATGAGAGGACAGGGGTGAGGAAGAGTGAGAGGCAGAGGTGAGGAAGAGTGAGAGGACAGGGGTGAGGAAGAGTGAGAGGACAGGGGTGAGGAAGAGTGAGAGGCAGAGGTGAGGAAGAGTGAGAGGACAGGGGTGAGGAAGAGTGAGAGGACAGGGGTGAGGAAGAATGAGAGGACAGGGGTGAGGAAGAGTGAGAGGACAGGGGTGAGGAAGAGTGAGAGGACAGGGGTGAGGAAGAGTGAGAGGACAGGGGTGAGGAAGAGTGAGAGGCAGAGGTGAGGAAGAGTGAGAGGACAGAGGTGAGGAAGAGTGAGAGGCAGAGGTGAGGAAGAGTGAGAGGCAGAGGTGAGGAAGAGTGAGAGGCAGAGGTGAGGAAGAGTGAGAGGCAGAGGTGAGGAAGAGTGAGAGGCAGAGGTGAGGAAGAGTGAGAGGCAGAGGTGAGGAAGAGTGAGGGGCAGAGGTGAGGAAGAGTGAGAGGCAGAGGTGAGGAAGAGTGAGGGGCAGAGGTGAGGAAGAGTGAGAGGCAGAGGTGAGGAAGAGTGAGAGGCAGAGGTGAGGAAGAGTGAGAGGCAGAGGTGAGGAAGAGTGAGAGGACAGGGGTGAGGAAGAGTGAGAGGCAGAGGTGAGGAAGAGTGAGGGGCAGAGGTGAGGAAGAGTGAGGGGCAGAGGTGAGGAAGAGTGAGAGGCAGAGGTGAGGAAGAGTGAGAGGCAGAGGTGAGGAAGAGTGAGGGGCAGAGGTGAGGAAGAGTGAGGGGCAGAGGTGAGGAAGAGTGAGAGGCAGAGGTGAGGAAGAGTGAGAGGCAGAGGTGAGGAAGAGTGAGAGGCAGAGGTGAGGAAGAGTGAGAGGCAGAGGTGAGGAAGAGTGAGGGGCAGAGGTGAGGAAGAGTGAGAGGCAGAGGTGAGGAAGAGTGAGAGGCAGAGGTGAGGAAGAGTGAGAGGACAGGGTGAGGAAGAGTGAGAGGCAGAGGTGAGGAAGAGTGAGAGGCAGAGGTGAGGAAGAGTGAGGGGCAGAGGTGAGGAAGAGTGAGAGGCAGAGGTGAGGAAGAGTGAGAGGACAGGGGTGAGGAAGAATGAGAGGACAGAGGTGAAGAAGAGTGAGAGGCAGAGGTGAGGAAGAGTGAGAGGACAGGGGTGAGGAAGAGTGAGAGGCAGAGGTGAGGAAGAGTGAGAGGCAGAGGTGAGGAAGAGTGAGAGGCAGAGGTGAGGAAGAGTGAGAGGACAGGGGTGAGGAAGAGTGAGAGGCAGAGGTGAGGAAGAGTGAGGGGCAGAGGTGAGGAAGAGTGAGAGGACAGGGGTGAGGAAGAGTGAGAGGCAGAGGTGAGGAAGAGTGAGGGGCAGAGGTGAGGAAGAGTGAGAGGCAGAGGTGAGGAAGAGTGAGAGGCAGAGGTGAGGAAGAGTGAGAGGCAGAGGTGAGGAAGAGTGAGAGGACAGGGGTGAGGAAGAGTGAGGGGCAGAGGTGAGGAAGAGTGAGGAAGAGTGAGGGGCAGAGGTGAGGAAGAGTGAGAGGACAACTTGAGCCACAACAGAACCAGACACATGCAGACGCAGACACACACATGCAGACGCACACATGCAGACGCACACATGCAGATGCAGCAGGACACATGCAGACGCACACATGCAGACGCACAAATGCAGACGCAGACACACACATGCAGACGCACACATGCAGACGCATACATGCAGACGCAGACGCACACATGCAGACGCAGCAGGACACATGCAGACGCACACATGCAGACGCAGACACACACATGCAGACGCACACGTGCAGACGCACACATGCAGACGCAGCAGACTCGGCCACTGCAGTTATAATTGTTTTTCTGGGCTGTAATCACGTGACCTGAAAGGGGCGTGGCATGTGGCCGTAGGACAGGAAGTGGTTCTGCGACAAACCTAAGTTCCAGCCTCCCTATTGGTTCATGCAGACGCCAATCAGAGAACATGTGACATCACTCATGGTTCTACATATGTCACTGTTAAAGCGATGAGTTGATGACCTGCAGCTGCACATGGTACACAGCAGAACAAGACGCAGAATGTGTTATAACCAAGTGCCGCAGAACCATGTACAACAGAACCAAGTGCCACAGAACCATGTACAACAGAACCAAGTGCCACAGAACCATGTATAACAGAACCAAGTGCCACAGAACCAAGTGCCACAGAACCATGTACAACAGAACCAAGTGCCACAGAACCATGTATAACAGAACCAAGTGCCACAGAACCATGTACAACAGAACCAAGTGCCGCAGAACCATGTACAACAGAACCAAGTGCCACAGAACCATGTACAACAGAACCAAGTGCCACATAACCATGTACAACAGAACCAAGTGCCACAGAACCATGTACAACAGAACCAAGTGCCGCAGAACCATGTACAACAGAACCAAGTGCCGCAGAACCATGTACAACAAAACCAAGTGCCACAGAACCATGTACAACAGAACCAAGTGCCACAGAACCATGTACAACAGAACCAAGTGCCACAGAACCATGTACAACAGAACCAAGTGCCGCAGAACCTTGTACAACAGAACCAAGTGCCGCAGAACCATGTACAACAGAACCAAGTGCCACAGAACCATGTACAACAGAACCAAGTGCCACAGAACCATGTACAACAGAACCAAGTGCCACAGAACCATGTACAACAGAACCAAGTGCCACAGAACCATGTATAACAGAACCAAGTGCCACAGAACCATGTACAACAGAACCAAGTGCCACAGAACCATGTATAACAGAACCAAGTGCCACAGAACCATGTACAACAGAACCAAGTGCCACAGAACCATGTATAACAGAACCAAGTGCCACAGAACCATGTACAACAGAACCAAGTGCCACAGAACCATGTACAACAGAACCAAGTGCCGCAGAACCATGTACAACAGAACCAAGTGCCACAGAACCATGTACAACAGAACCAAGTGCCACAGAACCATGTACAACAGAACCAAGTGCCACAGAACCATGTACAACAGAACCAAGTGCCACAGAACCATGTACAACAGAACCAAGTGCCGCAGAAACCATGTACAACAGAACCAAGTGCCACAGAACCATGTACAACAGAACCAAGTGCCACAGAACCATGTACAACAGAACCAAGTGCCACAGAACCAAGTGCCACCATGTACAACAGAACCAAGTGCCGCAGAACCATGTACAACAGAACCAAGTGCCGCAGAACCATGTACAACAGAACCAAGTGCCACAGAACACCATGTACAAACACAGAACCAAGTGCCAGCAGAACCATGTACAACAGAACCAAGTGCCACAGAACCATGTACAACAGAACCAGTGCCAGTGCAGAACCATGTACAACAGAACCAAGTGCCACAGAACCACAGTGACAACAGTACAACCAGAACCAAGTGCCCAGAACCATGTACAACCAGGCCCCAGTAAACAAACAAGTGCCACAGACGAACCATCCACAGAACCATGTACACAACAGAACCAAGTGCCACAGAACCATGAACAACAGAACCAAGTGCCACAGAACCATGTATAACAGAACAAGTGCCACAGAACCCAAGTGCCCAGAACAGACAAACCAAGTGCCACAGAACCATGTACAACAGAACCAAGTGCCACAGAACCATGTACAACAGAACCAAGTGCCACAGAACCATGTACAACAGAACCAAGTGCCACAGAACCATGTACAACAGAACCAAGTGCCACAGAACCATGTATAACAGAACCAAGTGCCACAGAACCAAGTGCCACAGAACCATGTACAACAGAACCAAGTGCCACAGAACCATGTACAACAGAACCAAGTGCCGCAGAACCATGTACAACAGAACCAAGTGCCGCAGAACCATGTACAACAGAACCAAGTGCCACAGAACCATGTATAACAGAACCAAGTGCCACAGAACCATGTACAACAGAACCAAGTGCCACAGAACCATGTATAACAGAACCAAGTGCCACAGAACCATGTACAACAGAACCAAGTGCCACAGAACCATGTATAACAGAACCAAGTACCACAGAACCATGTACAACAGAACCAAGTGCCACAGAGCCATGTACAACAGAACCAAGTGCCACAGAACCATTTATAACAGAACCAAGTGCCACAGAACCATGTAGAAGAGAACCAAGTAAGACAGAACCATGTACAACAGAACCAAGTGCCACAGAACCATTTATAACAGAACCAAGTGCTGCAGAACCATGTACAACAGAACCAAGTACCACAGAACCATGTGCAACAGAACCAAGTGCCGCAGAACCATGTACAACAGAACCATGTACAACAGAACCAAGTGCCACAGAACCATGTATAACAGAACCAAGTGCCACAGAACCATGTACAACAGAACCAAGTGCCACAGAACCATGTATAACAGAACCAAGTGCCGCAGAACCATGTACAACAGAACCAAGTGCCACAGAACCATGTATAACAGAACCAAGTGCCACAGAACCATGTATAACAGAACCAAGTACCACAGAACCATGTACAACAGAGCCAAGTGCCACAGAGCCATGTACAACAGAGCCAAGTGCCACAGAACCATGTATAACAGAACCAAGTACCACAGAA